AACCCATCCCTCCCAGCCCTGTGGGGACTGAGGGTTTTCACGGAGTAAGGGGACCATCCATCAACCCGACTAGTAACCAACAACATTGAAGTCTGTGTGAGCCGCATTTACACTGCAACGTAGATGTATGCTCCATGTCGACGTCCAAGTTTAGCTCACATCGCGACTTCAGCGAACTTTTAGGAGACGGGTTGTGGGAACTGGGTCACAAGTGCTGAAGACCTCGTTAGCAGCATCCCCGGATTGTAGGCTGTGGCTATGTGGTTCCCGCATAGCATGCCTAGCTCCCGCGGTGCATGTCTAGAGAACCATCTTTTCGAAATCCAGACTCTCTCCATGTATCAAACTCGGATCGACACGTATGTGAACTATGTAAACTAGCATGCAGGCTAAGGGCGACAGCTGTCAATCACTCGGTTTTGCACCATCGTGTAGTTTGATAGTGCAGTTTAGAGCAGCAGTCGGGAGGGCCCCCAGGACAGATTCTGGGACCCAATTGGTTTCTCATCACCTTCTCATGGACTCTACCGCGAAGCCCATGAGGACGAAGCTAATCAATATTTTTTTTTCAGGCATTTTCTAAACCATACATTCGGTGGTCGTACCTGGTGCCAAAAGACATTGTCGAGAATGTCAGCCTTGGAGTGGAGTGGACTGTGATTGGTCAATGGCAAGATGCAGAGTAACTACCTCGTCGGGAGCCGTGGTCAAACACGCTGGAGAGCGAGAGTGAGTAAGTTCACGATTTCAGTGGTAGTAGAAACATGCTATTGCCATTGCATTCAATTGGTATCTGACAAAGCCGTTATAAAAATACGGTAAAGATCGCACGATCCGCCCACGAGATTCTCTGGTGACCACATCCGCGGCCCCTTGCTCATCTCCTTCGGGGACGGGATCGGGGTCCCCCTCAGCACGCCATCATATGTACATTACCATCCTCTATAATAGCCAGCATCGCATGCTCCAACCCCTCCACACACCCCTAACCTCATACCCCCTACCCCCTTCCCCCAATTCCAGCCCACAATGAAACCCATACATGTCATCCTCCCCGCCTCAGCTCATGGGAAACGCCTTTATACTACGACGTGGGCGCGAGCGGCCTTCCTCCTGGCGAGGAGCTTGTGGAGCCAGAGAGCAAACAAACCGACACCGACGCTGGAGACAAGAGTTAGAATGTCAATCCCCCACATCGTGGGATAGGGCAATAGCATGTGATATCCGGACTTACATGAAGACAATGCAGAACACGAGGCTGGAGGAACACAACGTTAGCATCAAGCAATTCGTAAAAAAGAAGTCTCGTAGACAGGGGGTTTGGATCCTGGCCGAGGAAATAGGGCATTGGCCAATGCCAAAGCCCAGACCATGTTGCGTTGAAGGGGACAGTATGGGAGTGGGGCTGAGGGATATCTGGGAATTGACACACATAACACCAGGGTTCCTGGAGGCGAAGTTCTTGCGCTTGGCGAGCTGAGCAAAGGCCTCGCGGGCGACAACAGTGTTGATGGCGGCCATTTCGATGGTTGAAAGTCCTGCGACGGTTGGCGGATGAAAAAAGTTTTGCGAGGCTTTTAACTATTGTGAGGGAAAAAAGTCAGATCATCAATTGTTAGTGCTTTGTGACCACGCCAAAAGCTAGACATTGAAGGGGAAAAAATGCCGCCCCCGGGTTTCCGCCGTGACTGCTGCTTGCCGGATTTGCTGCCTTCGGGGAAATGAGCTCGACTCGATTTAGGGCTGCATGCCCATCGACTCAATTGATGCAGACGAAAGTCCGAACATGATCGGGGTTGCCATTGCTGGGGTGCCAAGACGAGGTGGGCATTATGAGGTAATGAGACAAGGTTTCCTTCTTCGACGACAACAGTCCTTCATATGAACCAATTGAAGCCGGAGCGAATGCAGAGTGGTAGAATGATTGGTTTCAAGGACGATCCGGCCAGTTCGCGTCAATCTTCCGGCGATTGAAAGTTTCCCGTCTGGTAGGACAGGAAGCTCTGGCGTAGGCACTCGCCAGGAAAGAGACCTAATCATGGCGACTGTGTCGTATGAAGATACGACATAAAAGGCATCCCGTGTTGCGTTCTATCTCGGCGTTCGACGCAAATCGCGAAATCGTCGATGGCACAAGCTGAGAGCTTGGCATTCTGGGGGGGCAGGCTGGGCAAAAGAGGGGCGGCGTTGATGACGGCAACGGGCGGTGCAAAAGCTTCGCGCACTTACAGCAAGAGGATTCAATACTCGCGATGCGAGGGACACAGCAACCCAATGGATTGAGGGAGACGAATTGAGAGCGGAGACTGAGACAACGACGGGTTTCCTGAGATTGGCGATCACCGGGGAGCAAAAGAAGAAAAAGGAAAAAAAGAGGAAGGGAAAAAGAAGGAAGAAGAGGCGACCAGGGAAGGAAATAGAAAACAAAAATACAGGTTCAGAACGATCGGTACAGTGGTACTCGTCGGCAGCAATCGGTAGCGAGGGATCCTCTGGTTTCCTAACTAGGGTGGTCGTGCTCACTCGGAAGACGGCACATGGCGGAAGCCAGGTGATCAAAGCTTTTTTCGACCCTTGCCTCTCACATCAGAATTCTTATCCGCTCACCATAAGTCCATCGCTAAGATGAATTTTTTTTCGCTCTCTCTTTGAGGTACTAATTATTATTGCACTTGCCCTTGCGACCAATTTGAGGCGGTCAAGACGTCACCGTCATGTATCAGGCCGTAGACATGCTACTGTGCACCTAGCCATGGGTACAGGGTAATGTATACGATACAGCGCTAAGATTTCGTACATGACGTTAACAGGGCCTGTATGTATCACAGTGCGATCTCGGTAGCAGTTAACAGTGAGGGGCTAATAGCTCCGGAGACCTCGCAGCAGCAACGATGAGAGAAGCGCAGCCAGGTTCTGCGCTAACTGGCCCGCCTTGGTCATGATTTGTGGGCCCCGGCCAGGGTCTCCATTGTTGGTTGCACTGTCATCGACCGCCATCGCAAATGCCGCCGCCCTATAAGTAATCCTGCACCGTCCAGTCACGGAAAGGGTACGAAGAGCTCTCAATGGCTGGCAGCTTGCCACCACCTCGCAACGTACCTTTTCGACTAAAACGGAGCTTGAAGCCTCATGGAACAAGCTAGCGAATATCTCGCGGCAAACATGGGTCCCTCGACGAATGGACCCAAACTCTTTTGCGCGATTTAAATCTCGACCCGGTGCTTCCCACCGCCCGAAGCTAACATGAGGTTGGGTACACCGTAATTAGCCCGAGTACAAATACTGTGCAATACACCAAAAAAGCCTTATCAGTTGTACCTAGCTTCGAGGTCCAAAAGCGTTGAATTGAACCTTGATATTTCTCGAATACCTGTTGCGATTTCAGACTCCAGACGCTCCGGCCGTTCGGGCTTCCCGGTGCAAGGCCAGGAACGACGAGTAAAGACCTCAGGCAAATCTTGCCGTGCACGATGGCGAACAGTTTCGGAGGGGGGTGAATCCTTCCGGATCCGCCTGCCACCGATATACGGCCGTGGTTTGGTGAGTGACCCGAGCCATAATAATACCTCGTCAGTCGACGATGGCCTTCTCCTAACCTGCCACCGGATCAAGGCGGATATTGCTTCTTCATGACTGGCTTCGACCACCGCCATTCCACCGAAGGAAACTATCCGATATGGCCCCGCGACAAGGCTCACAATTCATACACTTATCTACGAAAAAGTGTACCCTCATATGTCGTGCTCTCGTATACAAAAAGTGAGGTCATTGATGGACCCCTCAAGTCATTTCTCTAGTGAAACACAATAACATGAGCTTGCCTTTCTGCTCTGATGAGAGGAGGGTACAGTGCGTGATGACTTTCCAACAACGCATCTGATCCCCCAGTCTATGACCAGCCCCAACACAGCAACAGGCGGCCAGTGCATTTCACAACGCCGCATCAGTTGCTACCTTACCAGACCTCGCAGGATTAACAGGCCCTAGTTAGGCAATGTAACTCGAATTACGGGTTTACCCCAGTATTGATCGATTCCACCCATGCAATACTTCGTAATTCCCGCAGCTCTGTTCGCGGCTTTTTTGTTGTTGATGTCTGGCACGCGTCTTGGCTGATTTGGGGAACCAGGTCCACCCTAATCTAGAAGAAGGAAAAAGCGAAAACGTGGTTGACATTCGATGACCACGTTGAAGTCCGCAAGTACAAGTGCATCCCAAGGTTGAGGGCTTAGTTGACCGTGGGCTCCAGATCCAATCATGTAGGGTTCCCGGATAGAAAAGTTTAACATCGTGGAGTAATACATACCAAGTAGAATCCACAGAGCATGGCAAAGAAGGGCACATGAAGGCTGCCAGGATAGCCACCAGCGATGGCGAGAGTGAGGTTATGGCGCACATCACTTCTCAGCGTTGCGCCTTGAAGACGGGCAATAGCCCGCAGTGGATACATATCAATCCAAGGCATCAAAATTAATGATCAATGGCGCTGGATCATAAAGAAAACAAGATTGCTCAATCGGTATTGGTATCCACAATCACCACTGGTAATTGGCGAGTCGCGATTTATCTCCGTGAGTCGGCAGAACTCGGTGTCTGAGAAACTAGCCTTCTTCGGGCGCTACGGAGTAGCAAAGGGCTCAAACTGGATTTCGGCCTTCAAATCAAACCGCAGCCCAACATCGAAGATTGCAACTCAATTGCTGCTGCTATCAAATCAGCGTGCGAAGTGCGAAGTACAATTGTATTAGCGTAGTCATCATATCCACTTTTATTTCCCTCCCGCGGACATACAATTGTACTTCATACTTTGGCCAAGAACAACTTTGCACCCACAAGAGACGCCTTGAAACGAAACGAACATCAGTCCGCTGCTTCCGTTACCCTATCTTGTTTCCGCACTCCATACAAGCCAACGTTGAAGACGCCTCGCCAGACTTCATGAATGTAGTCATGTACATGTCCTGTCCTGATCAGTCCTGCCCTGATCAGTCCTGCCCATCATGATGCCCTTACAACTCCGAATACGCCTTGAAAGGGCGAATCGCCACAATATCGCGACGCTAAGGGCCTCGCCCCTGGCCGAGATCTCAGGCGCCTTCGGGGATGCGGGTACTCTCTTACCCATCATTGTCGCCCTTGCCCTCCAGGGCTCCATAAATCTGGATTCGACCCTGGTTTTCTCGGGGCTTTTCAACGTGCTGACCGGGGTCGTCTTCGGTGTGCCCCTCCCGGTCCAGCCCATGAAGGTAAATCCAGACTTGGTGGAAGACTTTTTCTTTCCTTTCCTTTTTGCTTCTTTTTTTTCTTCTTCTCATTTTTTTACCTTATCTGAAACGCTTTTTACATCACCGTTCGGCTCCCTCGCCGAGATAATCGCGCTATCGGAACCTTGCGTATTTGTGTGTATTTGTGCATATGTGTGTGTGTGTGTGTGTGTGCTTAACTTTGCAAGGACATAGGCTATCGCCTCCGCCGCTCTTTCCGGCCGTGGGGATCCACATCCAGCTTCCGTCGCTGGTGCCGGCGTCATCGTCGGCCTTGTCATTCTGTTTCTAAGCGCCACGGGTCTCTTGCATCATGGGACCCGGCTCGTTCCCTTGCCCGTGATCAGGGGCATCCAACATGGAGCCGGCCTCTCGCTCATCATCGGCACCGGGTCGGGATTATTGAGCCAGCTCGGCTGGGCCAGCCCAGCCCTCGATAACCGGCTATGGGCACTAGTTGCCTTCCTCCTTCTCCTCGGTACCCAAACTGTAGCTCGATTCCCGTATGCTCTCTACGTACTCGTCGCCGGCCTTGTATTCTCTCTCATCTCCGTCTTGACATCTGGCGAAGCAGCCCAACTACCATGGTTCAGCTTCTGGCGCCCGCAAATCCTCGCTCTGGAGGATTTCTTCCGATTCCGGGAATCTTCACTTACCATGGCCATTGGACAGATCCCTCTCACAACTCTCAACTCCATCATCGCCGTCAGTGCTCTTTCCGCAGATCTCTTACCCCACCTCCCATCCCCTTCAGTCAACGCTTTAGGGTTTAGTGTTGCAGCGATGAATCTCACAGGGCCGTGGCTTGGATGCATGCCGCTCTGCCACGGTTCCGGTGGGCTCGCAGCCCAGTATCGTTTCGGCGCCCGCAGCGGAGCCAGCATCATACTTCTCGGCCTGTTCAAGCTCGGGTTGGGCTTGTTCTTTGGAGGCACTCTAGTCGACCTACTAGCGCATTTCCCCAAGAGCTTACTTGGAGTCATGGTTCTAGCTGCAGGACTAGAATTGGCAAAGGTCGGCGCGACTCTTAACCGCGGGCTGGTGGAACCGGACTGCGGGACCCATGTCGAAACCGGCACTTCGGCAGCAGATGGTTCTTCAAGGCCGCGGCGACCGGGCAGGCCATCTGCTAGGGAGATGGATGAAAGACGCACGGTGATGTTGATGACGACTGCTGGGATACTGGCTTTTAAGAATGATGCTGTCGGTTTTGCTGCTGGCATGCTCTGCAGTTGGGCGTATCGTCTTTCAGACAGGGTCACAGCCTGGAAGCTGGCCAAATCCGCTCCTTCGGACACTGCCCCATTGCTAAACTAGTTGCTCTGCTCACTGCTTTTCCCCTATGCTATCGAACTATATTATCACAGCAGTACTAGGGCCGACGTATATCAGATATCAGAGAACCCCTCCGACCTAGGCAGTAGATCCTCCTTCAATGATGTCACTCTCTCCACTTCTGGAATCCGTGGAGTTCCCGTCTCTCCCTCCAGCCCCTCGTCCATTTGCTCCATCTCCCGCCTATACTTCCTCCTCACGATTACCGTCCCAACCAAGAATATCGCAGAATATCCGCCGGCCAGAACAGCCGCCACCATCTCCACCAACAGCCACACAGTGAGCCCATCCTTGTAAACGAGGAAAATCACAAGAGCGAGCCCCGCAAGCGAGGACATCAAACTTGGCAGGAGCAGTTGATCCGCAAGCCAGTAATAGTCTCTCCGACGGCGGAAAGAGATCTAGGCGATGTCTAGGGTTGCGATGAAGCAGCACAGGGGTGGCAGGACTGCGATCGGGAACGTCAAGGAGCGACTTTCCGACTAGTATGATGCACTTCTTCGGCTGGGGTCTTCGTCATGATTAGTTGGGAGGACAGTCTCGGGGCCGAGCCTTAGATGAAGTTGGGCGGTGGAGAGGACTGCGAGGCCAATTAGGAGGAGCCGGGCCGAGGCTCGTGCTAAACGGTTGTGAAGCGGAGGGACTGGCTCGAAAGCTGGCATTTTCATTTCTCTGTGTGGGGAGCTTAGTCTTCTTGTTTGGGGGAGTAATCTAGGGTCCTGTCATATGCACTGGGATGATTTCTAGTCATACATATATGACGAATCTCTAGCTCCTATTGCACGCGTTGGTGTAATGGATGATACACAAGTAACCTCACAGGATGACTAGGTGCATTTGAAAGCGGCCCCGAGGCTACATCCGAGAGGAACGGAAACGCATCCATCGACTCGGAATATCAGCTAATTTGGGATGAACTTGGCTTCTGGTCTACGCCCCGGCCTTGAACGTAACGGTGGTCTTATCCCTACGGGGACACATCCTTCCTTGCCTTCCGAATGTGTTTCACACTCTTCTCTGATGCCGTTTATACGAGATACTGGCATCGTCGAGGGTAAGCACTCTTTGTTCTTTTTTCCGCGATTATTGTTACGTCCACGGATAGATTTCTACGGCGCACTCGTTAGTCTTTAACACCCTCTTGTACAACGCGTTTTCCAGTGATACACGTCAATGTCGTACACGATAGAAAACGTTCTCCTAACATGGTCGTGTGTGTCAATCCGGGCATTTCTTACACTGCTCGAATGCTAGCCTGGCCTGAACAACGCTCCATCTACATATGCCTCGGTGCTTCTTCACTCCAAAAGCAGGTCCCGAATTAAGCAAACATGGCTCGAATGATTAGATAAAATGTTTGGTACAGAACCTTTCGGTGCATTCGCTCCGGTGTAGAAGAAGATTCGAAAACTATCGTCAAAATGGGTACCAGCGTTTGTACTCAGATACGGGCGAAACGGAGACCATGAGTTTCATTCGGACTTAGACTCCAGAACGTAGTTCGAGGTTCGGAAATGATCGTCCTGTTGGACTAACTACACCAAGAACTAGGAGGATTGTAAGATTGCAAGGCGATGAAGAAACATGACCAGGAAAGTTGGTAGGTTCTCGAGAGGGTATTGGTGAAGGTCCCGACGACCTATGAAGTTGAGGAAGGAGCTTTCTTGACATGTGGAGAGACAGCCTTGAACAAGAAAATTTGAAGGCGGTCAGAGGATTTGATGGAGCTAGCGGTGGGGAGAGAGACGATAAGATAACAATAACTGGCAGGATTATGTCAGAAGGGACAAGATCAAATGAGGACTTGGAACAACAGACTCTGGCTAGAAATTTAGTTCATCACCAATTCCAAGACTGGCGTCCTTTGCAGAAAGCTGGATTGATCTTTGAACTTTCTCACTTACGAAGTACAGATCTGCCAGCGCCCGGCTCACTGGCACACCTCGCAACCCACCGAGCCATTCTGGCCAATCACCTTGCTCTAAAACACATTCACCAGCCCCTGTCGTCGCAAAGTGGACGTTGATGAGGGACGCTGAACTGCAGAGGCCGAGAGACCCCCTCACCAATTTTTTTTTGGTAGGTTCTTCAATTGGGACCGGTCAGAAAAAAAAAAAAAAGCCATAAAAAAGAAGAAAAATTATGATTTTTCTTAGGGACCTGCTCCTGCAATTAAGACGACCTCGACCGAAGCGCAACACCGACACCGAGTCCCGGCGAATCTAGCACGGTGGAACGTTCGATTTTCTCTTTCCAATTCGCTGAGGCAGACCAGCCATCCCCGTCGCAATTCCCGCCCACGCGAGATGAAGGAGCTGTCATCCAACACAGTCCAACGTGCTACGCAGCGATGACTTCGTCCGCCGCCTCTGCCGCCCAGGCGGACCACCACAGCCTGAAGTTAGAACCAACGGCGCTGTCTGAGCTGTCAGCGACCGCCACAACCACAACCAGAATCGCAAACGAGACCACCACGGACGCCGCCACCGCCCAAGACAACCTTAACACCGACAACCTCATCCCTCACAACAATAACGTTCGCGACGAATTCTCTCAGGAATTCTCTACAAATCCCGACCGTGCCACCGCCGCAACCGCTCCTCTTCCGCACACAACAGCTACTGACCTTGTGGCATCCCACGTCAAACAGGAAGGAATTTCTCTGCTCCCTACCACCGGCCGCGATGTTTCTGAGCCCACCACCTCTTCTTCGCACCTTCTCCAACAAAATCCCAACCCAGACACGCCATTACCCGTTCCAGACCGAGGCGGTAACGAGACATCACCAATTATCGACGGATTACCATCGGCCGACCACGTTGACATCGACGCTGTAATTGCCGACGTTCCTACCCTCTCTACAGCCACGCCTGCCGAACCTGTAACACCAATCCAATCTCACACTCGCGGCCACCCAAGCCTGAGTCGCCGCAGTAGTACTGTCGGACCCAACGCGATCCCTTTCGCATCAGCCAGCGAGGCATCCCGTGTGCGAAACGCAATCTCGAACAACTCGTTCAACATGATGGCATTTGCCCAGATGTCCTCGCCCCTTCCCATGACCATGGGCCACATTGCGCCGCCGTCCATCGTCACCCCTGCCCAAGTCACCCTTCCCATCCCTGGCGAAGGCGTCGATGGCCTGCCCAGTGCCATGCATCCCCTCGTATCGACTGAGGAGGGCCTAGAATCGTTCGCGCGGATAGAGTTCGCCGACAGCGTGTTCCAGATGACGACCTATGCTGTTATTATCGGTCGGGACCAGCGTGCCATGGAACAGGCCAAACGAGATGAGCGCCGAGCCGAGGAATACAGACGCATCGCCGAGGAGCATGCGGCCCAGGGCCTTCCCCCACCTAATCCCATCATGCAGGAGCGCAACCGAAAGTTTAGCAAATCCTACGTTAGCGAGGAGGGTGGTATGCTTGGCCCCGAGTCCGATGGCGAATCCGTAACACGTCCGCAGAAGAAACGGAAACGAACGCGGTCGGTCGGATCCTCTCAGAACGACGCTGAAGGCCAGGAAGAACAGCTCATCATGGATCGGCAATACGTATCACACACCCCTGGCGCCGCCGCCGTCGACCTGAAATCACTTCGGCCTTCACCTCATCATACCCCCTTCATTGGCATCCACTCTCCCGGTCCCGATATTGCCAGCAAGACCAAAGCCATTTCTCGAGAGCATCTCAAGATTCAGTTCAACGCCGAGAAGAATGTGTTCGAAGCGATTCCCCTTCATAAGAACGGTTTCTTCTGTGATGATGTGCATTATCGACAAGACAGCGTTGTGTTGAAGAGCGGGGCCAGACTACAAATCAAAGATGTGGATTTCACCTTCATAATCAATGGAGTGGAGCGTGGCCGCACTGGTGCCGAAGACCTCGAAGATGGTCCTAAGCGAAGGTACTCCGAAGGCGGAAAAGAAATGAGCGTCGAGTTCGAGCTCGGCCAGGCCCACGAAGATCTGCGGAGCGATAGCGACGAACTCTCAGAACTTGGAAGCCCGCCGGAGCTGTCTGATGATGGCGAGATAAAGTCGGAGTCCGAAGATGAGGAGACTGGGAAGACTAAGCACACAACGGAGCAGCCTCCGAAGAGGCGCGGACCCGGGCGACCTCCCAAAGACGGCATCATGTCGAAACGAGAGAGGAGGGAATTGAACAAGAGGGAGCAGGAGATAGAAAGACAGCGCCAAATGGAGGAACTGGCCGCCAACGGAGAAGCGCCCATCAAACGGAAAGTGGGGAGGCCAAGGAAACATCCCTTGCCAGAGAGTGCCGATGGCAAGCCCGAAAAGAGGAAATACAAGCCCAGAAAGCCCAAGGGCGAAGAGGAGGGTTCGGAGGCCGAAAGGAGACGAGAAAGGAAGGAGAGGAGACTGGCGAGACCGAAATCTCCACCACTCAAACTTCGCCGCGAAGATTTTACGGAGGAGCAGCTGGCCAAACCCAACAAGAACTACGGTATATTGATCGACGAGGTGCTGCGAGAAGCGGGGCCGGATGGCTTGATACTGAAGCAGATTTACAACCGAATCTCTGCAAAGTATCCATTCTATCACTTTTGCACTGAGACGAAGGGTTGGGAGAGCAGCGTACGTCATAACCTTATAGGCAACAGTGCCTTCAGGAAAGATCCGAAATCCGGAGCGTGGACGCGTGTGCCCGGCATCGAGCTTGACGCCGGCAAGAAGCGCAAGGGCGATGCCGCTGCCGTGGAAAGGGCTGCCGCCGCCGCAGCAGCAGCAGCAGCCGCGTCAGCAGCCGCGGCGGTAGCAGGTGGGCAACCATATGCCACGGCATACGGTAACCATGTTTACCCCGGCTACGGAACCGACGGGCACCAATTACCTCCAGGCTCCAATCAAGCCTATCTCACCGGGGGAGCGGCACCTGCGTATCAGCAAAATCACCAGCCTAGTCAGCTTGCCTTCGGCGGTCAGCAAGGTGACAGCGGAGCTCAGACGTACGCTACTCCGACGGGCCAGCACCCGGCCAGCACCGACTCGGCGCTTCAGGCAGGAGTCGCCAACCTCGCGGGAGCTACGGCAACGCCCCAAGGCGTACCCCCTAATGGTATTGCCAGCGCAGGACCCCAACTGCTCCCGGGGCAGGTACAGCCAGCGCAAGCTACAAATGCTCAGAACCATGCTATAGAAAATGGAGCCGGCCACAACTATGCTCTTGGCACCGCATCGTCGGCGGTAGTTACTCCAGGCCCAGCAGCCCAGCCAAATGGCGTGCAGGGAGCTGTGCCTGTACCAGGAACTTTGCCGACGGGACCAGCCCAGCAAGCCTTCTACGCCGCACATGCTCCCGGGCCCATCCCGACCCAGGTTGCCCCTCAACAAGCCAATGGCGTTGGGCCCATTACTAGTTCGATCCAAGGCCAGCCATCCCGGCCAAGCGTACTGCCTCGTCCGGCTCTCATGCACCCGCGGCTGATAACCCTGATTAAGAATGGTGCCAAGGAAATGCGCAAGCATCCTGCGCTCGATCGCCGAAGCATCTTCTCTGCCGTAAACCGAGCATTGGCTCTAAAGCCCCGCCACAGTCCCGGGTCATCGAAAACCCAGCCTCTCGCCGAGACCATCGAGCGGAAGCTTGTTGGGACGGTGGATGGGATTGTGAAGAGCTATTTCGAAGCTCACCCCTCTGAGTACAAACACCCCATCCACCTCGACGTCGTTTCCCTGCTCGTGGGTCTCCGAGAGATCCTTCAAAAGAGGGTTGGGCAAACATCTACTTCAGCTAATGGCAGTATGGTAAATGCCGGCTCGGAAAAGGACAAGGAGTCAAAGCAGGAGAAGCAGCGTGAGATGGGAGAACTTATGGTGCTTTCATGTTTTGACAGGCTTGTTGGGGTGATGGATGAGAGCGTGTTTGACTGGCTCAAAGAAGAAGGCATGAACCCTTCAGAGGAAGAAGACCTGAGGATGTGGATGGCAGCTGAGGCACAACTCATGCCTGTTGTTAAGGGGTACATTACGAAGATGGGATTCACACTGCCGACGTGAAGAGTGTCATCTCTTTTCTTACTCCTTCCTCACCATTTTGATGATTCTTTATTTCTTCTATACAATTTAGAAGAACGACATGACAGTTGAGGGGTTACTTTCTTAACAACTCTCATAATACGTGTTATACCTTGGGCTTTAGGTTCTTTCTCCCTTTAGGAATTGGAGGACAAAAGGGATATGTTTTGGCACTGGAGTTGAAGGAGGAGATGGACTGGTGTATACCTATACCTATACCATTGCTTCCGCTAGTTTATTCATCTTCTCTTTTCCCCATCTTTTGTTGGCTTTTATAAGGACTTAGCGGTAATGCTTATTGCAAGGAAAATAGATTTATTCCCACTTGCTACTGAGCATCCAAAGTTGCCTGCAAAACAGCTATTTTGTTGCCTGATATTTCGATATCCCCGTGTTGGAATGTCGGGGATAAAAGGAACAGGCTTACTCTAAAGGATCGACGAGCCGTCTCGACGATGACCACTAACGTGATGGAATCTATAAATATCATTGATTTACTTCCAGATCGACCAGCGTACCTGATAAACCTAGATTCTCGACAATCCTTCCCCGTGTCCTCGTCATATCACTTTGGACACTTGCTGTTGCCTCGCTCCGTCATCATCCGCTGCATGTCTAAGGATGAAGCACGTTCGCCGAGTTCGCAAGCACTCGAGCGTCAGAGATTGGAACAAGTGCGGGGGGGGATCGATGGCTAACTGAATCATTTTAAAGCTGGATATGTCTGGGAGAGAGGAAGCCAGAGTTTGCGAGAGGCAAACTGGGGATGAAAGGGCCGAAGCTAGGGACGTTGTCTCTCTCACTCTCTTTGCTCCCTCTCCCGCATCCATTTCTCTTCTTTTCCTTTTCCTTTCCTTTTTTCTTTTTCCTCCCTTTTCCCTTTCGTTAAAGGAAAAAAATAATAATAAAAATCGTGGGGTCGGGCCGAGCGGTCAATGCCAGGGTCGCAGATGAGGTACTTGGCACTGAGACGATTCAGGAACGACATCAAATCTTGCAAAGGATCTAGTTTCTGGAAATTCTGCAAGCTCTGCTAAAGAAGCCGACGTGGTTGCACATGCCGAACACAGTTGGCAGTTGAATGATACGAAGGAGGCAGCGTCGGGCTCGTCTTTTTCTCATGTGGTGAGCAGTACGAAGTACTTCGCACTGGTGCGAATACGCTGTGGGTAACATGTGCAGACACGTCATGCCAGCTGTACGCCCCTCGTACTACTTTTGTACTGTCGTACTTCTTACTCTCTCATCTTATTGTCGAGTCCACGATCCTCCTCTGTGCCTTTGGTGCCTCGAGCTAGTTGCGGGGCAGGATTCTCAACTTGACATTTCGTTCAATAACGGATCAAGGGAGCTATTTTCGAGGTGGCTCCAGGTTGAACACGCCGAGGTCAATGCCCTAGTCTAGTAAACTTCACACAATAACAGGTCCCCCAACGGAGGTGCGACACGAGACAACCCAAGGGCACGACACGAGGGACAAGACGGGCCACGGCGGGCCACGACAGACGACATGGATCGAGCTTGGATACCTCAACAGCTTAGAGTTGATAATCTTTGGGGGTCGACGAAGTATCCACAGGTACGCCAGTCTACACTACAGGGGTGCAAGCCCGAAGATCTCTAATATTAGCGTCGAACACAATGCTGGCATACCATTGGCCTGGGATGATGTACGTGGGCTGCAACTGTGCTGGTGGCGGATGGGGGAATGAGCCTCGCCCATGGGCCGGGCCATGGCTGGGGAGGATGGTGGGCCAGAAATGCGTTCATATCCGCCCAACTCATATTATCACCATTATTAACCAATCTATCAACCTTGCCGAGACATCCTTTTCCTGTTCTTTCGAGGTACGAGAGCGATAGATATTCCGGTAAGCACACGAGAACCCTCGCCTCAGACGGGATTGCGAATAGATTCATGCACTTTCAATTACTACACTACACTTTATGTAAACTCCAAAGTCAGTCTTGGTCAGCTAATTCGGAAATAATGGCCAACCCACATTAATCGAGAGACCCAGATCAATTAGATCCAGGTCCGATTAATGTGACAATCCGGTCATCAACTGAATATTACAAAGGTACCTGTGTACTTCGTACTGAACACAACATGAAGTTCTTCATAATCTAGTGGGAAGGCGCTTCAATTGTACTTAGTCGTCGGTATCAATACCACGCTATTACTTCGTCTCAGGCCCATGGTCTGGCTCGTCTCACTAACAAAACCACGCTACAGGACCTACTCAGTCCACACTAGAACGTGTTAGACTCTTCGCCCACTGACTCCTCTCCACTTGTTCCACTGTCGTTCCCCCGTCCCGAATTTATTTTCTTACCTTTTTCTCTCTTCGACTTTTTTCTTGTCACATCAATTGATCAATCTGTTATTACTTCGTATCTGGTAACCCGTTCCCTTCGTTTTCCTGCTTTCTGCCACTCCCACCTCAACTTGCAGTAACAGTCAATCGTGTACATCATACCTTGTACCAATGCACTCCACTGGCCTCTGCCACCTCTCTTTTTTTTTTTTTTTCCTTTTTCATAACCACATCACCTTTGAGCCTTGACCTTGACCTGGATTCGCCCAACCTGGAACCTTACCGTAAACTTACCCGCCCAAAACCCGGGATTCTTTGATGGCGCCCTCCGCCCCTTGGCTTTCCCCCTTCACAAACGCCACCTGCATTGGCAGCCGTACTTGTAGCCACAAGGTCATCAATAACTGGTGTTCTCGCCTCTTAGTCTCTAGCTCCCAGTGGCCAGCCAGCATATTACTTCGTACACCACTACTGGCGCTACCGTTTTGCTGTTGTTGAGAGCAAGAACAACAGCGAGGCGACGGATCGATTTTTGGTGTTACATTGACAACGACGAACGTCCCTGTCTGTCCCAGCCCAGGCCAGTCCTTTTGGCGCTCTGTGCTTCGTGTTCTGGTACGAAGTAGTGCAGGGTACCTTGTACTCGTAGTCGCGTCCCCCCTCTACCAAGTACACACTTTTCAAGCCTCTTTCTTCCCTCATCTCCGACCACGCATTTTGAACTTGCACTCTGCCAAACATCGAGACAATCACAGCATCCGCATTCTTCAACCCCAGCCAGGATGGCTTCGGCGTCATCCACCAATGCCCCTGGCGGCTCGTCCCTATCAGGGAACACGAGGCCCGAACTAGGCGATATCCTGATAGTTATTCGTAAGTCTGTCCCGGTTCTGTTCTTACGCTATGATTTTCATCAGCACCCGCCGCCGCCTGGATGACAACCCGCCACTGAGCTTTGCTGGCGAGACTTGACACCGAAGCTTCCACGATTCCGTCCTCGGGATTGTCGCAAAGTTATTGTCCATTGCTGACGTTCTGCTTTTCCCCTTCGAATAGATGATTTCAATGCCAGGAGCGCCGACGAGCTTAGCCTCGCCAAGGGCGATCGGGTCGAGCTGATCGAACGGGACGACGAGTTCGGCGATGGATGGTTTCTCGGCCGCCACCTGGTGAACAACAATACCGGTCTCTTCCCAGAAGGTGAGGCCACCCAACTGCATCCTGACACGCGCATAGCCATATGGGCAGTATGCTCATGATTCTTTCGATTTTTTTTTTTAGTCTACACTCGACCTGCGCCCAAGACTGCTCCAGCGGGCAGCTCGAATAACCTCAGCAACTACCCTCCCCCACCCCTCTCCCCTCTCGCTGAATCGGCTCCCGAATCGAGCGTGCACACCACTCAGGCGACGAACTCCGCGTCGCCATTGACGACGTCCATCCTCAGTATTTCTTCTTCGATACCCGCGACTGTCACCGCCCACGCCACCATACCGGCGTCTGTCCCTTCTCTGATACCCGACTCACCTCCTGCCACTCTCCCTCTTAGCTCCGTTCATACGCCGAAACCCGACGCACCCTCCTCGTCGACCATTCCTTCATCCATCGAGGAAGCCTTAGCGAGGCTCAACAGTAACCAGGATAGCCATGTTCTGAATGAGACGTTGAACGTTATCGATGAACATATTACCGACCTCCGATCGCCCGCTAGCAACGGCGGACTCCATGCGGCGACCGACTCCGGCAGCGATTACAGTGCCCCGATAGACCCCCGAATGTCGTATATCCAGGGCGAAGAGACGGACGAGGAGGAGGAATCCGTGCACACCCGTGCAGAGGTCGAAAAGTGGACTCCCGATGAGGTAGCCGAGTATCTTTTCACCGCCGGCGTAGAGAAGCACCACTGCGAGGTTTTCAGGGATCAGGAAATCAGCGGTGAGGTATTATTGGGCATGGACCAGAGCTCTCTCTTTATCAAGGCCCTGGATCTTGGCTCCGTTGGTCGGAGGCTAAAGACTTGGCAAAAGATCAAGACTCTACAGGATGAGGTGAACAGCGGTACCTACACACGGCGAACCACGCAGACCTACGGCAGCGAGGTTGGCTCCGATGATACGAGGCGGATGCGAAGCCGAACAAACACCATTACCAACTCCATCAAGATGCCCACCATTGACGACCGTCCTTCTTCAGCACAGGCCGGCCGTAGGTCTACTGGTATGAGCTCCCGTAAGGATCCGACTAACTTAGGATCGCCTACATCCCCCACTAGAATCGTGGAGAGCCCGACACGCGTAACGCATGCGAGGAGACCGTCTGCTGCCGAGGTTAGGGACCTGCACCATTCGCGTCGCCACTCTTCTACGGATTATCGAGGAACACCTGTTCTTGCCTCCCCTGCCATGAACGCACCTGGACCATACGCAGCAGGCGCCGACTCGAATCACAAGAAACAAGCGTCTTTCGACCGAAATTGGACCATGGGCAGCGCATACAACCAGCGACCTCTATCGTCAACTGGCTTCCAGGATATCTTGAATCCTGGCGGCAACGACCACCAGGACTCGGCTGTGGAGTTGGATCGTGGGTATTTCTCGGGCACCGAGGTTGACGGACGTAAGAAGAACGTGCTTAAGAAGCGAGACAGCGGCGTAACCAAGGCGAGCTATACCGAGGAGCAGCGTGTGCGTAGTGCGACCGCCATATCTAGGCATTCTCGCTACGGAAGTATCGATTCGATCCGCGACGGAGGCTTAACTGCCGCTCAAAAGTATTACGGTCTGGCGGCTGGAAATCATAAGAAAACGGCGTCGACCAATACTACCGAGTCCATTCGTCCCGTACCACCGTCCAAGGACGCTCCTCCTCCTACCGTTACGAAACTCGACGGTATCTCAGACAGCCCAGGCGCCTCACCAGCCCCGCATGCTTCGCCGGTGCACAAGCATGGTCTTCATGGCGATTGGTTATCGTCCGTCGTGAACAAGCCCGTGGGAACGTTGAAGGCGGCGGGGTTGGGCCTTAGGGCCATATCCGACTCGGTCTCTTCATCTTCCGATCGCACCAAGGTAGCCTCACCCACCGACTCGTCCACCACTAGAGAGTCACCTGTTTTGTCACCCGCTCGGACAGGTTCGACAACACCTTCCGCCGGTCATAGTTTTGATCTTGATTCTGCCGAATTGAAGGCCTCGGCATATGGCGCGAACTCGAAACGAGACGCGCGAAAGAAAGGAAAGAAAGAGACGAGCGCATACACTCGGGGTCTGCAGAAGATCAGCCCCAAGGAGGCGATGGAAGATGCCGATTATAGCGGCTGGATGAAGAAGAAGAGCTCAAACTTGATGACTATGTGGAAGCCACGCCTATTCGTGCTCAAGGGCCGACGTCTCGCTTACTACTACAGCGAGGACGATACTCAGGAGAAGGGCCTCATCGATATCTCGTTCCACCGCGTGCTTCCCGCCGACAATGAGAGGCTCACTGGCCTCCACGCGACACTCACTGGTGCGGGCAGTAGTACACCCACGCTTCCGAACCAAGGCACATCTAGCGCCGGTGGCGACGAGCTAGAAAAGGGAGATGATACGATGTTCATCTTCAAGCTAGTGCCGCCTCGTTCGGGGCTACCACGGGCCGTCAATTTCACTAAACCGACAGTCCACTATTTCGCCGTACCGAACCTCAAGCAGGGCCGACTCTGGATGGCCGCGTTGATGAAGGCGACTATTGATCGCGACGATACGCAGCCAATCACGACTACCTACCAGCAAAAGACGATTTCTCTCGCGAAAGCTCGCGCGATGAGGCACAGGCCACCCGCACTCATGAACCTGGAAGAGGGCGACGAGGACGAGAAGAGGAGGAGCGCCGAGAGAGACAAGAAGGACGGCCTCGATATCGCGCTCCACGAGGCCGATAGCGGCATCTCCGGTCTTGAAAAGATGGGTCTGTCGAAGGTTGAGAGCGCCAAGGCTACCCAGCACGAGTTCACCGGCAGCGAGAAGGGGATCCTACCTCCTCAAAGCGCGTAGGCGGACGCCTCATGTCCTCTTCCATATCTCCCTTCGTTCGACCTTCGTTCAAGGGATTTTCTTACATTTCGTCCAAAATTTTCACTTTTTTTTTTCTTTCTCTTTATTTGCCGAGGGAGGCATGCTGTGATGATTGGACGTCCTCGACACGTTTATGTTTATTTCCGTCTTTTTGTTTTTCTTGTTACCAGTTTAATACGTCGTTCCCTAATACCTATTGCGGCCTGCACGCCCAATACTTACTCTCATTTGTTTTATCTCTTTTATTTCCACAGTTGTCTTCTTCGGTCGACTCTTTGCGCTTTGTCCTTCTCGTCAGGGAGGAACGATGATGATATTTGCAGGCTCGGGCCAACACTTCGCCCGTTTTATGCTCGTTTCTACTCCTTCGGGCGGACCATCCGCTCCCTCAAGCGCGGCTAAGAGAAATGAGCATGGTGTTGAGTGACTAGGAACACTCCCCCTACCCCGTGCCTGACGTATATATCGATTCGACAATGCTTGATAGTATCCTGCCACAAGGGCAAAAACCAAGGCTAGCCGGCTGAAGAAGCAAATGAACGGAACTGATGTCTAATACCCTCCCCTGTACGCGAATGCCTTTTACCTGAGTTAGTTAGCGGATGAACCAGAAGAGAGAGGAGTGGAGGAATAGGAAGGACGAACATGAAAGACGCAGATGGGGTCTATCGTCGGGACGTTTGAAGGAAGTGTGAGGACGTGTATCCTCGATACGTATCGAGGTTTCGGATTTTCTCATTGGATCGATCTGTCTGAAAGAAAACCCTTTTTAAAGAAGAATTTTGGGAAGTGCTCACAGCTCTCTCTTTTGATGTCATATGTTTAATATAGAGGTTGCTTTATTCGTTAACCCCCCTTTATTCCTCACGAGGAACCTGCCGAAGAGCAAAAACACCTCGTGTAATGTATTACGCGTTTTACATGGGACGTCGTTTCATCGTTTTCTTCCCCTCTCATCCCCATGGTGCTCAAGGCGTGGAATACAAATGATGAGTTTATTTATTCTTTAGACTTGGTTCCTCCAGCTCCACTAGTCTCATCAGGCCGTCGACCCCTCTGGCCACATCTGGCCTTCGGCACCATTCGTTCAAGGGAATGAATGCTCGGTTGCAAACCGACTTCGTCACTATCACCAACAACTCTGAAAAGAAGAAAGGAACATGTAAATCATGGCATTATTATTATTTATATACACACCCAAGGTCAAGATAAGGAGCCCATAGAGCAGCAAGACACGACCTCATCCTCATCGAAGTCTAAGATCATCTGTTCACTTCGCCAAGGGTGTGAGGCTTTAAAAATAATAACCAGTAGAATAATTCCTTGCCAATTCCGAATGTCGTCCGCGCCCAACTATGCTATTCCCGACCTCTTTCCGGTCCTTCCTTTTATCTTCCTGTTTCAAACGCCGTGCTGAATCATGTCGTGGTATCGGTGCATAAGGAAAGAAAAAGAAAGGATATGCAGTAACAAACAAAACTCCCAAACAACCTTGGGGACTCTCAATGGAGAGAACAAGGGGAAAACAAAATGTCAAAAACAAACAAGTCTCATCAGACCCAAGCAGAGAGTCATCAATCGTCGTCAATGACGACCACCTCCGCTTGAGGGGCAGCGACCTTCTTCTTCGCCAAGTCGGAAGCATGCCTCTTCAGGGCCGGGCCCTCATCTCCATCGCTACCCTCGTCCTCATCGTCGGGGAGCTCCTCCTTCGGGCGCCACTTGCCCTCTGCATTGACGTAGATTACCTTAGCTGTGTTCAATCCCTGCTTCTCGAGGGAATCGACGACGCCTTGGAGGAATCCGTCGACTACGAGACGATTGGGGCGGGCATCGGCAGAGCAAATCGGGCATTTCCAGGTATCCACCAGACTCGGCTCTTGCCAGTCAACCCCATAGACGGCGCATTTGGCGCAGTCGGTGACGTCCTTCAGTCCGTGGGCGCACCTGTCCTTGGATGGACGCGTCTCGAGCCATGTCGACAAGTCAAAGGGGTCAAGATGGCGACAATCAACGCCGCGACACGGAACCTTGACACGCGTAGTGCTGAAGGGGTCTGTGAGACTAATACAAAGCTCCTGATCCGCGAGAACTTCCCCTTCATCATCCCCGTCCACTGAGCAGATGGACAGCCGCGATTTAATGACGTCCAGTGTACTCTTCTCCGCCAGCCTCTTCTTCTCTTGGATGATTCGCATGATCGACGAGTGGCTTGCGGTTACAATGAGTTCAACGGCTCCGAAATATGAGGCGTTACTGTTATGCGATGAGGGCAGAATGACGACAGAGAGTTCGTTGCGATCAACCCTGACGAAGCTCGTGATATCGCAAGGTCGTGCCTTGCCAAAATTCTCCTTCCGAGCCACTTGGGGATACCCGTCTTCATTTATCTTGATTGACAAGGCTGAGGGCCAAACCGTTGGCTTGTAAAGCCAGTCTCCCTCCGGGAGGATGGCGATATTGCTTGGAGCCTCGCAGATTCTGAAGCGAATCCAGCTAGAACCTTGGTAATATTCGGCAAATTTGAATGGCTTCCCTATTCCCTCGACCACTCGAGAAAAGGTGGCGTGGATCTGGGGGAGTATCTGAAATTTCAGCTTCTTTTGGGTGCCGTCTGTCGATAGTTGAGTAGGCCGAGCGAGACAAGATCCGACATACTGGTAGTACCGCTCATGGGGAACTGGCACAACGTCCTGAGAACCAAGCTTTCGAAGGCGTCTCGGCGGGCTCATAGTTTCTAACATGTGCAGCGACCTCCGTGCCATCATGGTATGCACATGAGGATACTGCATCGGAGGGATGATGGCGCTTGCAGGAGGCAAAAATGGGTAATTTAGATTCCTCGCTTGCTGACCTCTCTGAGGGCCGTGTTGAGGTTGCCCCGGCTGCGAGGACGCCGGCTGAACAGCGTGCGCAAAGTGCGGTCCTGATTGATGGGGAGCCTGGTGGCCGCCATAGTTCGTAGCGGGTTGGGAAGGAAGGGGCTGCATTGCCTGTGCAGGCGAGATAACCGGAGGCTGCAGCCGGGCAGAAGCAGAATTGGTTGGATTGCTAGAAGACGTAGCCCACACAGCTGATGGAGGGGCTATGGCGACCGGTGACTGAGGGCCAGGGGAATAGACGTTGCTAGCAGCGGCAAAAGCCCGCTGTGTTTCTGTACCGCGGCTCGGCCAAAGTTGAGATGGTTGGCTCGGAATTCCAGATGCACTCTGAGGATTGGAGTGATGAGGGGGTTGTTGCAACGGGGGTCGAAGGGGCGGCAGAGGATGCGGCGACGAGGGCATGCCTGGGGAAGTGACTAGCTGGCCTGGGGGAACATTCGAAAGTAGGGTTGTGGGAGAATACGGTGCAGCGGTTTGATGATACGATGATGGTGGTTGAGATATTGGAGAGATGCCAGGAGCGATGGAGTGATTGCCCTGCCTAGGAGGTGATGGCCGATAAATCGGTTGGTAGGTCGGCGGCACTTGAGTCGGAAGGGAAACGGCGGCTGGGTGTCCTCCGAGTTGGTGTCTTGGCTGGGGGTGCTGGCCCTGTTGAAGTGACCCCAAAGCAGGACCTTCAAAGACGGTCAGGGTATGGTTTGAGGAAGAAAGGAGGAGGCTTTTGTTATGTCTGCTTTGGGAGAGGTACTTACTGTTGGGCATGTCCTGCAATGAAAGATTGTCTAGGGTAGCCATGAGTTGTTGATATCTTAATTCCACCTCGTTGCTAGCAATGTGTCGTTCATCATCTGTCAAGCTCTTGTTGAAATAAAGGTTCCTATCACAGGTGAAGTTTGCCTCCAGTGCGTGGATTATCCCCTGGGTCTTGGGCCCATCCTTGACACCTATCAACCTTCTACTCATCCTGAAAAATATACCCAGGAGGCATCCTGACCTGATCTTCAGGATTTCCACGAGTTCCCAAACACGCACTGGAGTTCTGCGGCTAGCCGCAGCATTAACCAAGGAGGGCCATTTTTGGGACAACTGCCCAAAGAACTCGCAAAGTGATATGCGATAGGGGATAAGGTACCCATCGGCAGGAAACTCATGAGTTTTGAGCCCAAAGGGAAAGTCAGCATACCAATGGATCATGCCAAACCTCAATCGAGCGGTCGGGCGAAGGGCACCTTCGAGGATCTGGCACGCCGATTCAACAACGGCATTTGGGAGGCCCAACAGAGCATTCACTCGTGCAGAGTCGAGAGCCCGCAGACAGACAACTTCGTGGACAAGAAGGAAGAAAAAGTCACCTTCTGTTACAGCGGCACGGACGACGTTGTATCTTGGTATTTCGTAAACAGGGTCGGCGGCGTCTTTTCCGCCCAAACTCTCGATCATCAACTCCAAATCCCGCGCCCACAACTCAGTCGGCTGTCGCGGCGGAGACGGGCCTAGGCCAGTCACACCGGCATCCCCAGCAGGCCGCCCTGCCTCAGCCTGTGTTGGTGTGATAGAAGGAGCGGCAAACAACGTGGCTACCATCGGAAGGGTACAAGGTCGGGGGTCCCTATCCCTATTCTCTTCTGTCTCCTCCTCCTGTATGACATGGCAGGGGCGAGCATCGGTGGGTGGTGGAGGCGGAGGCGCTTGTGGATGAGATGGAGAATAGCTTGGCAGGGCTGTATTCGATGGAGGCAGCGAATCGGGGTCGGGGACGGCAACGGTCGAAATAGTAGGCGGGCTACTGGCTTCGTCACTTGGGGCGGGAGAAGGGAGAACGCTTGACTGGCTTCTAGACAGAAGGTCAACGTTGTTAGCATGAGCAAGATGGCGGGTAGTTGGCGGAGAAAGGCTTTGGCTAAGCGTCGAGGGTCTACAAGAGGTTGACCTCAATCGTGAGTAGGCAGATCCAGTCTGGATCACTTTTGACTCTTTAAGTTTGAACTAACCTAAGCGCGGCACCATTCACACTCTTTCTCACAGGCGCGGTATTAGGTTCGCGAGAAGGTAAAGCCAGCGTGTTTGATAACGTGGACTCCTGTTGCGGAGGCGGAGGCGGCGGCGGCGAGAGATTAACGTGGTGAGGCGATTGGACTGAGGATTCCAGTTGGGGATGGGGTTGGAGTTGCGGCTGTGGTTGAGACTGAGGTTGGAGTTGGAGTTGAGGTTGAGGGTGCGGTTGCGGTTGCGTAGAGTTAGCGGTTGTGTGAGTTGCGGCTCCTGAGCTTCCATCTCTCCGCCGTTTTCGTAAACTCTTTGAGGCCGTCGAGATGGGTAGAGCTGTGGTGTTGCGAGTGGCGACGGCGCCATTGGTCCCCTGCATCCACGACGGCACTTGACCGCCGAGGAAAGTATTCAGGGTTCTGTTGGATTCAGAGATCTGATGCGCGTCGCCCAGGGATGGCCGCGGACGCTTCTGCGTCTGTTTATGGCTACGAGTCATGGCGTTGTAAGGTCATATCTCTCTGCAACAACGGGGGTAGACATGGATCGCCTAAGCTGAGTCGCGAATGGGTGGGGGTAGGAGTAAGAGCGGGGGGGATCTGTGAGATGAGCATAACACAGCTCGAACCGGTCCAACGGCGTGCATTTGTCTCTCAAAAGGGAACCACTTGAAGGGATAAAGCAGTAAAGACTTGCGGCATCCCGGGCAAGATGAGGCACACGACACAGCGGACGAGACAGCGAATGTGCCCAAGAGGAGAGAAGCAGGAGGAAAGATGGAGAATGGAAGAAGGAGATGCAAGAAAATGAAGCCTTGCAGTTGGGCAACGTGCGGGACGAGACCTGTGTCAAGATGTTTGCCCGTGCGAGAGGTTTGGAGGAAGGAAGCCCTTGAAGAAGCTGGAGCAGTAGAGTGGGGGTTGAAGGGGACAAGATTGGGCGAGCAAGAAGCAGAGGAGAATATTTGATTTGCGGCGCGAGGCGCGCGGTTCGGTTACTTGAATATCCTGACGCCCACTCACAATTTAGCATGAAGTTGCAGCGAAATAGGCTAGGCAGGAGCAGCCGGCCAACCGCCGTCACGGCGCGTACTTGCACTTAAAGGCTCCACGGTCCCCACCTTCCTTCCATCAATAATCAATCGATAATGCGCAACGAAGGAAGGAAGGAGGGAAGAGAATTCACACCCGACCGCCCGTTTGCTTTTAATCCAGTTCTGTTCTTGAAGAATCATCGGTCAAATGGCGTGGCCCGCGGTTGCTGTTGCAGTTACGACTCACAAGGCTCTTGATATTTCGGGAAGGGTCAAGCCGAACCTAGGGTCCCCACGTCCAAATGTACTCGTTGTGGATGGATCATGTACTCGAGAGGACTTGGAAGGAGCAAGATGTTTCTTGCTACCCCAGTACATGTGCCCTCCATCAAAGACGGAAGTAGTGACTTAGGGACGGGAGTGACGGGAGTATAATTGTACGAATTGGAGTCGGGTAGATCGCTTGCAAGGCGCCTTACTACTAAGAAGGCAGTAGACTGATTAAACTGAGTTTGGATTCATCTTGGACCTGCATCTAATACGATTGTACAAGTACTGTCTGGCTCCGGCAGCGATGTTCCATGCAACATTGTATGTAACTATCAGAAACGTGCTTGAGGCAGAGGTACAAGTCCGGCATCCAACTCGAGAAGTAGATTTTCACTCCCGTTTGACCGCCGTTTTCCCAGAAAGGCGGAATGTGCTGCCAGGCATTTACTCAAAAGCTGAAAAGGAAAAAAAGAAGAAAGAGAAAAGAGATGGAGAAAAAGTCTCTTTCTTTCTTCATTTTCCTTTTTTTTTAAGCTCTCCCCTTCCCCCACCCTCTTTTCCTCTTTGGGTCGGCGGGACAAGGATGTTCAGGGATCCAGTTTACCAAAGTACACTACTTCGTACCCTCGATCAGAACAGACATTGATTGCAGTTGTTTTATGGTCGCATTTCTTCGGTGAGGCTTCGAGTTTCGAGGATGCCAGAGGCCTCCTCATAATTAGGCGTTTCCCCGACAAGCGCCATAACACTTAATCGCAAAGAAGTGCTCCGAGACTCAACTGTAAAATATTCATTAGAATCCATGCCACCGCGGAAGGAATGTAGAACCAAATTCCAGTCCAAGGCGATGGTATGGAGAGCCCGGCAGATATATGTATATTTGCACATGTGGACATTCATGCAATGCGAGCGTTTATCGAGGAGATGCACACTGGGAGGCATCAATGACCAATTGATCACCGACACTTGCTACTTGTATATCCCCAGCCAGGTATTTCCACCTCAGCCCTCGAGAGTCGAGTCGATGTCAAATTGAAGCGTGGGTGGCGTTGTTGGTGTGTGATTCACCCTGGCACTTGTGACGGGATTGACCATTCGAAGTCCAACAGGAAGCCTCAACATCTGCACCCACCCACTGTTGAGGCCTAGCCTGCAGGACGAAACCGATAAGCCCCTGCACGGATGGTGAAGGAAGAGGACGAATCTTTCGAGTGCCCTGTTCATAAAGCGTTGGAACAGAGTCACCCATCTTCGTGGCTGCAACTATTGATCAATATGTCCATGCGATTCGACCAACCTCCTTGGCACTGGCTGACCTGGCTATCCTTGCAAGATTTTCCTGCCCTCCCAACACTGGACGGCACCATCTTTCCAGGGTGTGTTACTATAATGCATTAAGCATGCACTGTTGATCATGTTCTGCTACGAGTCTGGTCACTCAGCATGCGGAGAGAGGGTAAATCGAATCTGTCCTTGACCATTTTCTTTTTCGACTTCTTCAATGTTGTTCACCAGAAATAACAACCCTTTGGGAACCTTGGTGACCAGCAGGGACAGGCAGGAAAGCAGACAATCAAGAGGGCGATTTTGGCTTGACCCCGAGTAATTGCGTGAAGCCAACCGCATGAGACGTGCATCTCTCATTCGATCCGAGTGATTTCGCAAGCCGGGCCACTAGAGAGCAAACTCCCATGCATCCACAGTCAAACAACCCCAGCAAACAAATCATCGTGTTACACACCAAATGGCAAACCGTAGACAGCTCGGCGAGTGGCATGTAAAAATCCGCATACAATATAGTCTACAAAGTCTAGTATATTACACAGCAGACATTTGTCTTATACAAACGGAGCTCTCCTCCGTTCCGGCGTTGGCTCCGCGCCCCCCTCCATGTCGGTTGATCCCTTATCTCCTCCTGCGCCCCACCAATTCCGGCACCTTCTCCCGCTGTTGAGTCTGGGCCTCTTGGGCCGGTTCGCTGAGCCAACGCTGAACCACGGCGCTGCCGTCCACAATCTTGCCCTTCTCGCCGCTCTTGACATCCTTCGCTAGGGATTGCGCACGGATCTGTTCCAGCTCGCGGCGGCGCTCCTCTGTGAGGAGCCACCCGGCGGGGAACTTGGGCTTCAGCTTGATGGGGTGGTGACGGAGGTCCAGAGGGATGTCCTCGAACATGTCCGTGGGATCCTAGAGTTTTCTCTTGTTAGTACGCGAGAATGCTCCTCCGGGAAGAGAAGAGGGAAATAGTAAATTTGAGTGGCAGAGAAGGAAGCCATGGTGTGTGAAATGAAATACCTTTGCCGCCTCAACAAGCCGATTAGCTTGATCACGCAGATACCGCTTGTTCTGCGCCTGGTGATCAAAGTTCTCGCAGCTCATCTTGATTTCATCCTTCTCGGGGTTGTACCTCGGACCCGCGAGCTTCTTCAGCTTGAGCTCTTGGGCGGGTGTAAGGCCGAGATCGGCAGGACAGAAGGTGACGACGACTTTGCGTTCAGCAGGGTGAGATTCGCCCATGTAGGTAGTGTAGCGGAAGCGGAGAACTTCGTCTTCCTTGGGTGGCTCAAACGGCTTTGCCAGCTCTGCGGTGATGAGTTCGTCCGGTTAGCTTTCCACACCCTCTAAACACACTTCATACGGCAAGGGAAAGAAAAAAAATCAATGCTTATTTAGGGCGCCTTACTCGACAGAAGAGGCATCTCCCACGCCGTAATTCGGGCATAGTGCCTATACTCCCTCAATTCGTCCAACTTTCCATGGGCCATAGACGTGATATCGTCCTCGTCAAAGTCCTCGCCCTGCACATCGTGCGTCATCGGATCATCGTCGTCCTCGTCGAACCAGAACGAGTCCTTCAGCGGTCTCGGCTCCTTGAACAGCGTCGCGGCCTCCTCATCAAGAGACTTGTGCATGTTCCTGTCCTGCGCCTCCAGTGTCTGTTGGATGTTCTGCAGCTCTTTCACGAGCTCGGGAGTCCTCTCCTCCTCGGGGATTCCCTCCAGCATCTCGTCGATGAAAGAGTAATCCGACGCCGAGGCGTCTTCTCCCTCACTCCCAGATGTCGTTTTGGCAGTCCCGGACTCGTCGGCGGCCCATTGTATCCGCGTGGTCGAGATCGTGCGTTGTGTAAGAACGGGGAGTGGTACGGTTGAGCGTAGACGAGGTGCGGGTCGTTGCCGAGCTATCGTTCGGAGGCAAAGCCGGAAGGCTGAACCGGCTGCCGCCATGGTGAATTATTTGTCGTCGACTTAGGGGTATCTCGGTGCAGACACCTTCATCAATTGAGAGCTTGGTTGAACACGAGAGCTTCTTTTCGAGTCGCGGTTTCCACCTAGGATGATCCAAAAATTTTGGGAGGATGGTCGGGTAAATATCGGAATTGGGCTGGTCCTAAGAGTGGTCAGAAGAGCAATAATCCAGGCCGTTGCTCAATTGCCGCCGACCTTGGTTTGGTGGGGTATCCTGAGTCTGGAGCTAATAGCTTCAACCTCACCTTGCCCTCCCTTGCCTTGGTCGCACTCTGTCTTCCATGAGGTTAAGAAACCCCACAAACACACAAAATTTCTTATCCTCAGACCAATCTCCTTACAAAGAACCTACATGATAGCTCTACTGCGGAATTGTGCAAGGTTAAAAGAACTGTTTTCGTGCATACAACTTGCGCTATCATATCCACGATCCCCCTTGTTCACTTGCCCCCCTTCGCAACAGCAGCAGAGAGAAGGTTCTTCAAAGTCACAGAACAGCATGGCTTCTTCAAACAATCCCGAGTCCGGCCCTTCCAATGACCTATATCCCACACCTCGATCCGGTATCCTTCATCACATCGCTCGAAGTGTTACTGAGGCCAATTACGGCGGGCTTCCTACCATTCCCGACCCCGACATGGATCGATATTGTCTTGTCACTGTCGGCGCAACGACCACATTTCGCCCTCTGGTCGAGGGCGTCCTCGAGCGGCCTTTTATCTCCGCTCTCATCACAGCGGGCTACACTCGTCTGACCATCCAGTGCGGCGCCGACGCCGAGGAGTTTCGCAACGTCGCACTCCAGTTTGTCCACCCTACACTGAAGATCGATGTCATCGACTATGTCGATGATCTCTCGCGCCTGATGCGAAAGTGCCGTGCCGCAGAGGGCCTCTCGCGTCGACGTGCGGGCATGATGATCTGCCACGCAGGTATGTTTACCTAATTCGCGTCTTTTCTGTCTGAGGCGAGAAGGCTAACCTGGGACCGATCACCAGGCACTGGTACGGTTCTCGATGGGATTCTGAATAACATTCCCATCGTTGTCATCCCCAACCCCGCCTTACAGGATAACCACCAGCTCGAGCTCGCGAACGAGTTGCACAAGCAGTGCTATGCCATCCATGGCCTCCTTGAGTACGTCTTTTGCTAGCCCGGCCTCCCACCTCCCACCTCGTCAAGAACTTGCCCTAACATTCCCTTTCCCCTCTCTAGCGACCTCCCTGCTACGATCGAACACGCCGATGCCCTCCACGCCCGCATTCAAGAACGTATGCCCCCGAACGCAGTGGAAGTCGACCCTCTCGAGGAAGCTGAACCCGAGTTCTGGGACTTTGTCGACGCCATGGTTGCCGTTCCCGATGAGCGAGATGTCGGTCTCGACCCCGGAGCTCGACGTTTCATGGCTTCCCTTTCGGAACCCGAGAGGGAAATTTACGAACGCTTGGTCGTGGGTTAGCAGCTCATTGACCAGCAGCTTTTTTCCATGCCTCAGCCGTCTAAGCCCGAGCCCGAGCCCGAGCAAGCGCCCAGAGTCGCTGCCCCCGCTGCCCAAAGGGCTGGTCCGCGTTCAGTGACCCCTCAGTATGGCCATGGTGCTACGGGTCATCCATATGACCTTGGCACTACTATGCTGCACCCTCTTTTCAGACCTGCCCAGCAGACTACGTCGTATGGTCCTGGCGGCATGCTTCATGCCACCGCCGAGATTGGACCTCAGCCGATGGCCGCTGGCGTGGCGCCCCGAGGACGCCCTGCTCGTAATCCCGGACACGATTTTTAGATTCGAACCGGTTTTAAGACCGGAAACGGCAATGCAGTCGCGGCTCAACAAGGTGAGGAGCTAATGGCCGATCGAAAGACCTTGTTTTGAAGCTCTCATGCTTTATTGAGAAGCTCCAGCGTAATATGCATACTATATGTATGCGAATGCCTTGTAAATCAACACCTTACGAGATATGCTCGCTTTCTTTCCTCTTTTGTCGGCGTCAAGGGAGCATTTCATGGGCGAGCGATTGGTATCTACGGTTCAGGGCTAGGGAGCCTAGTGTACATGGTCGGTTACGTTTTCGTCTTTCAGTAGTTTCGGTCGATCGTATAATGAGAGATACCCCTGAGTGTTTTTTCCGCCCATTCCAACGTCTTCATTTCGTCTACGAGACATAACCTAAAATATCAATCACAAAAGCTTGCTCCGAAACATAGCTAGACATAGGAACAGCTCACGTAACACCTCCCAATCCCCATCACTCCCCATCTCCACTCACTGCAGCTTCACATCCCATATCTTCACAGCAGCATCCCCACCCGAACTCGCCACCTTCCCCCCCTCAACCCAACAAACACCACTCACCCCATCCTTATGCGCATTTCCCGCCTTCACGCGGCTCCCGGGCTTCGCCAAACTCCACACATGTACATTCGTATCCAGCGCCCCGCTAGCGGCATGCGTCCCCTCCTTGTTCCACGCAATGGTCGTCACGCGCGCCGTGTGCGCTGACCACCTATCTGTCGCGACGGCCCAGTCGCCCGAGGTCTCGTAGACGCAAATCTTGCCGATGGCGTTGCCGACGGCGAGGTGGCCGCCGTCGCGCGAGAAGGCCAGGGTGGAGATCTGCGAGGTCGATTTTGTGAGGGCCGCGTGGATCTGTTGGAGGGAGCCGTCGGGCGAGGCCTTGTAGACGAGAACGCGGTTCTGGTCGGCGCCGATGGCGACGTAGGAGCCGTGAGCAGCTATGGCAGTGGGCACATAGGGGAGGGTCACATCCTTGACGAGCTTGTCGTCTTGGTAGATGGCGACGCCGGAGGCCGTGGCAACGTAGATTCGGCCGTTGCCTGAGGCTAGGTCCTTGGGTTGGGCAGGGAGCTTGATGGCCGAACCGGTGAATGTTTGTGCCGGCTCATCGATGGTCCGGAGGGTGTCGTCCCATCCTGCGCTGTAGGTGTGGCCTACCGCACCAGGGGCGAACTTGACCACCTGGTTCGAGTGGGATTGCCCGTCTACGGCGGTGCCCTCTCCGGAGGCCACGTCCCATTGAAGCACGCGACCGTCGAAGCTACCCGTCCACAGGGTCTGGCCCGTGCCGTCCGAGCCGGAGCCAACAGCTGTCACCGCCTTGTTGTGGCCCTGCACAACCCCGTTCGGTTTATCGCTTCCCTCGCGGAGGTAGATGAGGTCTCCTTTGAGGTTCAAGCTAATAATGAGCCCGTCGCTTCGGCCATGGGGATACACGACGCCAACTTGCTGATCTGGGACACTAACGGCTCCCTCAGGGCCGAACCTCCACGACTGGATCGACTTCTGCGCCTCCACGTCCCAGAGCTTCACTGTCTGATCAGCGCTCGCCGTCACAAGCTTCCTCCCATCCTGCGACCACGACACGGAAAAGATACTACCGGTATGCTCGCCCTCGCCAATCGAAACGGTAGGCTCGCCTGTCTTGCCATCGTACAGCTGAATCTTCTTATCGGCACCAACCGTCACGAGCTGGCTCCCGTCGGGCGAGAAGGCGGTGCCGAAGACGAAGGACCTGTGCACGTCGGCCTCCTTCGAGTTAAACTTAAAGGGCGCTCCGTGCAGGAAGCACATGGTGCTGTCGTCGGATACCGTGGCGGCGCGCAGAGGCCGCTGCTGGCGGATGGCCACGGCGTTGATGACCTTGGAGTGTCCCGTCACCTCGCCGACTGAGTTTCCGCTGTCGGCTGTGATGCAGTGGCCGAATCGTTCTTTGCCGTCTCCGACGGCTATGATTCTCTGGGAGTCTCCATCCCAAGCAATGTCGTTGATACGGCCCGAGATGATGTGGTATTCACCTTAAAACAGCGGTGTTAGAAGAACCCAAGAAGGGGGCCATCTTCCGCGAGATGAGATGTATTAAGGAAGTGAAAGAAAGAGAAAGAGAGAGGGGGGGGGGGGGGGGGGGGGGGGGGGGGACATACCCTTTGTGTTTACGGCTTCTACCGCATCCCATACACGCACCGTCCCGGAAGCATCGCCGCTAGCAACGTAGAACCCGCTCGGCGCAAACCGAGCAACCGTCGTCGGGGCAGTGTGGCCGACGTACTGCTTAGACACTGCGGGGTTGTCGATGGACCTGATGAAGATGGACTTGCCAGACTACAGGATATACAGAGCACGGAACAAAATGGTTAGCTTTCTTCAAAACCTCATGTCTTGGTTTCCCCTTTCCGATTTCTCCTTTCTACTTTGCCCTTTCAAGGTAGGTAGGTAGATTCCTGGGTAAAGTGGGTTTCGAAGCTTACAGCATAGGCTATCCTCTCTCCTTTCTTGTCGGTGGACAAGTGAGTTGGCTGGCCGCGGGTAGTAGCGGGAGCAGCGGCCAATATCTTCTCGATGGTGATAGACATTTTGAAATATCGAAAGGCTTCTTGAGTGGACTATAAACTGAAAAGAGAGAAAGAAAGAGAAAAGGGGGGGAAATTAGCAACACCCAATATGAGGGTCTGAAGTAATCGGGCTGTGAGGATGGGATGGATCAATACAATCAATTGTATCAAGATGGAGGGGCAGAAGCAAATGCAATAAGAGCTCAAACAGCTCCTGCTGCGGGGCATACGCAGAGAAGCAGTTTGCGACTTTCCTTGACTTGAGACTGAGACGTGAGACGCGCCTGCGCCATCATTACTGACTAAGCACGTTAGTACTTCCAAAGTCACACTGCATTGATCCTCGTCGTTTGAATGTATGAAGATGAATGGCTCAAGACCCGATCGATCAGGCTCTGATTCTGGCCGAAGCCCTTTTAGGCTTAAGCAAGCTTTGTTTGCACTTGCCAACAAAGGTCGATATGCCATCCATCATTAATGTTTCGTACATGAAGAATACCACTTGGCCTCGCCTACAACTCCAGGCTTCTCTTGGAGCCCGCTGGCCACAGGCTATGAAGACGAGCTCGAGGAGCTCAAGGAGCCGTAAAGACAAGAACACACTCTAACGAGGGAAGCGACGTGGATGAGAACTAGAAATAATTGTCGAAAAATACGTGTTAAATAAACTATTCTCCTCGTAAGGAAAGAAAAGCAAAGCAAAAAGTCCCGAGGTATCTCATGTGCTGTTTTTTCAATACGCCTTGACTTCATCAAAACATGCCCAACTCCTTCTTCCCTTCCATATGTCCATCATTGATCATATCAATCGCACACGGCCCTCTTGTTCCATGTGCCCTTCGTTATCATACCCTGTGTAGACGCCGAAATATGGAACACCGTACAGCCGTAGGAACACACAAAGGCAAGACGTCCCCCCCTTGGAAAAAAGATAAAAACCACGACTATGTAGACGAATACAGGATGAACGAACCTCTTGAAGCGGGCAAAGAAACCAGGGAAAACACGAAAAAAATAAGAGATATCCGATCAGTTGACAAAGAGAAAAGGAAAACAAGATTAATGAATTTTTTTGTAAAAACGAAGAAATGAAGAGAAAAGCCCGCTATCTAATCATTTTTGTCTTCGTTCCGGGGTTACAAGGGAATCAAAAAGGCCTCACGACGAGACGCCCTTGATTACCCTCGCAGGGTTTCCAACAACGACTGTAAACGGTGGTACATCCTAGAGATAGGGATCATGGTTAGCATCATAAGTCTTTCTCGTGCATGTGTTTCGGGCCCAGACGAGTAGCACTGCTTACCTTGGTAACAATCGATCCGGCGCCGACTGTGCTGCCCTTGCCGACCGTGCGGCCGGGAAGGATTATCGCACCGCCTCCAATCCAGCAATCCGGTTCAATAATGACTGGTTTGCCGAGCTGTGGGCCCTTGCTGCCCATCCGCCTCTTCGGATCGATGGGAAGCGACGTCGTGTAAATACTAACGTTGGGCCCAATGTGGCAGTTGTCTCCAATCTTGACCTCGCAAGTGTCCGTGATGGTGCAATTCCGTCCAATGACCACGTTCTGCCCGATTCTGATATTGTACCCATAGTCGCAGACAAATGGCGCCTCCACCACCACGTTTTCCCCCACGCGGCCAATATTGGTGACTTGCGTCATCAGATTTGGCGACATTTGAATCGGGTCTCGGGGATTCAAGATCTCACGGAAGAGCCGCGCTCGCTCCAAAGGAGATACTCCGTTGGTAGGGTTCATCGCGTTGTTGAACCTCCAGCAAGCCGCATTGCACCTCTCCCTCTCCAACACGAGCTCCTTGTCGAACGGGTAAAAGTGCCTGCCGGACAACATTTCCTCCTTTTGAGTTCGCTGCCTACTCGCAGCCGGCGCGTATTGAGTATGTGCGAGAGCGAGCTGCGCCGCAACCTGGGCGCTTGATGTAGCTGTCTGGTGGGCAATAGGGCTGTTCGTCCTTGTTGGGTGGAGAATATTAATCTGCGGCAGAGTTGTTCCGTGATGAGGTGGCTCCGGTTCGGTCCTAGTGAGGTCGTGGAGCGGGGGTACTCTCTGATACTCTTTGGGCATCCTTTCCGAGAACGGCGGGGCCGGACCCGCGTTTGCGCTGACTGGTGTGGGGAAGACGCTGGCACCCGGCGTGTACGAGAGGGCCGAGAGCTTGTTGTCTGGACTGGCAATGGACGCACTGGGAATAGTCGACGCCGTGTGCCTGTCATCATCCGAGACAAGAGGTCGTCCTTGAGGAGGGTCTATCCTCAAGGGCTGGCCACGGTATGAAGTAATGGGATCGCGCTTCTGGAGTTGCGGTAGCGGTGGGGGCTTTTGTGCAGTTGCCGAAGCAGAAGCATAGTGATTCTGCTGCTGCTGGGATGACTGCTGCTGCTGCTGAGATATTTGTTGCTGCGGCATCCCATACGCCCCGGGAGGGACATAGCTGGGGTCTTTGGACTCCAACGGAATTGCGGATGCCTTGTTATCAGGCTTCTGCCACACTGGGCCTCTTTGTGGTGGGTAACCCGCACAGAGAAAGCCACCGCGCAAACAATTCGAGCCTACCGAGAGAAATCAGCATTTACAGTTCAGTCAAGTCACGTCTACAGTTGAGAGCACAGAGCAAGAAGATGCAGAAACGGGGTTGGGAAAAGCCGTTACTTACACTCGGGCTTTTGCTCGTCGCACTTCTTCTTCCTCTTTCGGCACGTCATGCAACCCGTTTTAGTTCTGTTGCTGAAGTTGCGCTTCCTCTTTTTCGGATCTACCTGAATCACCGTGTCTTTCCTACCTTCCGCGGTGTAAGGGGATCCGGTGTAAACAGAAATCGAGCGGTCGTCAATGTCGGGGCTTGTGTTAGGGTAGTCCGTCTCCTTTCGAGCCGATTCAGAGCTCTTGTCTTCGGCCGTTTGGTGCGAAGGCGGGGTTTGGCGGCGTTGCGAGGATTGCGACGGCTGAAAATGTTGGCGCTCGTAGCTCGACGGCTTGTCGCGGCTCTGCTCCCTGTACCATCCTTCGCGCTCCCGACGCTCATCGTCGTATCTCCGGTACTCCCTCTCCCTGCCGTCATAAGCGATCCTGGCATCCGTATGGGCCGGTCGGCTGGGTTCCTCTCGGGGCGACCTCTCTTGGGGAGGCGGCGGATCCCTCCGCAGCTCATCAGCGTCCGACCTCTTTCGCTTATGAGAGTTCTCTGCCTCGGCGTGGGTCGACTGCGTGTATGAGGCGGGCCGTTCTTGAGTTGAGTTCGATCTGTTCTCCCTCGGCGTCTCGGCGGGTTTCTGGGCATCTGGCAAAGAGGAGGAGGGCGTGATGGGAGTTTGACCGTTCACTCGGCCAGCGGAAACCGGTCTGGGTTCTCTCGGCTCTCTCGGTTCCTCTGCAACATTGATGACGGGTTCCGCAGGCTTCTGGTCGGCCCCGTTGAGGGCGGTGAAAGTCGACATTGTGAATGTGAAGTGAGGGTAGAGTGGGCCGTTCGTGCCCAGAGATGGATAATTACCGACGAGGTTAACCGTCGCGAGATAGAGTCCAAAAAAATAAATACCTGTCGAGGGCCAGGTCGCGCGTAAATCAGAGGTCCCTTTGCTATTGATCACCAGCAACTGCTCCGAAAGTTATGGGTGCAGGATTGCGATGATTTGAGATCACGACTCAGATGGGGTCTTTGGGGGGGGGAGGGAGGGACGAGAAATGAGAGAATTAAGGTGGAAAGAAGAGTAGCTGATACGAAAGGGGAAAAAAAATGCGCGGCGCTCGCGAGATGGCTAAGTTAACGAGAGCAAGCGGTGCTATGTGTGAGAAATTAATGAAGCACGGCGGTAGGTGGGATCGGAAACAGGCGAATGGCGGTTTCGGCTCCGGCTGCGTGATGCAAATGAGTGCGCGTGCCGACTGTCCCCTCTTCTCGATCAAATTGCGCGGTCAGCCAAGTGACCGAGAGAGAGAGAGAGAGAGAGAGAGAGAGAGAGAGAGAGACGAAGATCAATTCGCGATTTGGCCAAGTTGGTCGGATATGAGAAAGAGCTCAAGGCTTGAGCCGCTGATGAGGCGGTTGTGGCCTTTTTGGACTAGCGCACGCGCCTTCGCCTCCTTCAGTTACGGAGCGTAGGCTGCCGTCGGAGAGGTTGCAAGGTACGTGGCGTGGGTTGGAAATGAGGCAGTCGACTGTGCTCAGTTGAGTAGGGAGCAAGCTTGTACCTCTTCGGTGTTCGCAAGGAATTAAAATCCAGCACAACCACCTGGTCAGAGCTAGAGACCACGATAAGCCCTAAATCCCGGGTCGATGCAATCAAACCAGGCGATGGGGTGGACGAGTGGTCGAAAGAGGGCGAAATAAATCAGGCTCCGAGCCGATTTGGGAAGCTTTCCGTCCGTCGACTTTCCCCTTTTATCCTGGTGTCCAGTTCTGCTGGTCGCTTGGTCCGGAGTAGATATCAATAATGAGCTCTGCCGCGGAATAATGAAGAGTCCGTCCGCCAAAGCTCTTACTCCCGGTGAGAGCCGATGGAGGGTGGGAACGCTTGAATAAAAGAATTATTAATAACTGCTTGAGGCCAAGAAAGGACACACAAAGTGCCTGTGCCAAAGCAACGTCTTCTTAGCCGCCTTACGGTAGGAAGGCGAAAAAGGAAGATGAAGAAAAGAAGGGGAGAAAAATTGCTTGGTGCTAGGCGCAGCGTCTTCGTTCAATCGTAACAATGGCCGTAAATCGTCGATGCTGAGTGGCGCACCCCTTTCTAGTCCAAAGGGGTAGTGAGGGTTTTGTTGAATGATTGATGGGATTGAAAATGTCAATGGAGTAGGTGACACGAGAGTCTTGTTTGCTTGAGACCCTTTTCAAGCCCTCTTTTCCGGTTCTGTCAAGGCGGCTTGGTGAGATCCAAATGAAGGTTGGGAAAAAGGCAAAGTGCTTGGTCCGGATGGTCTGCTTTAATCGTCTGAGACCAAGCTCCTCTTTTGATCTCTCACTTTCCCTAGTCCTTGCCTTGATTTTATCCCTCTATTGTCTTTTCGCTTTTATGCTTTTTTTTTTTTTCGTTCAAGTGGCGCTTCCCTTTTGTTCTTAACGCGCGATTATGCTGCGCCTGTTAGATTCAACTGAAGGGGGGTATGTAACGCCTGTGAAGGCTTAGTGAGAGACGAACCTTGTAATATTCCTCGAGCAGAGGGTCTTCAGAAATGAGCGGTGGAGGTTTATGAGAATGATGAGTGCGATGCCGGTCGCAGCTCCAAAGTGATATACCGCGTGGGTAAAGAGGTGTCGGTGGACGAGGCGCGTCTTCAAACAACTGTCAACAGAGATGCGATGGTCGAGCTCGCCAACTGCAAATTTCCATTCCCAAGGTTGATCAATCTGAGTGGAGGGGTGAGTGATTGACCAAAGAAGATGATGTTTGACGGCAGAAGGGAAGATGGGAGGGGCTAGGGCGTGATTAAGGTGATGTAAGAAGGGAGAGGGCGGAGCCAGAGGAAGGTGAGAGAGGAGGGATAGACAGTGGTTTTGTTGATAACCACTCCTATGCAGCATGCAGTGTTGGAGAGAAAGGAAAAAGATAGGAAGAAAAGAAGGGCTGATCACAGACGAGGGGAGGAGCCGAGGAGGGATGGCAAGGGGTGTGCAACTTTGGGACTTTGGGAGTCTGGGGCCTTGGGAGCCGGGATTAAAGTACACTCGATGTATTGTGCTGTTATGTCGTGTACAAAGCAACATTACGAAGAGAGCTTTCCCAGTCTCGTATGTAGCATATAGGAAGAAGGGACGGACGACGAGGGTAGCCGCTATGAGGAATTTTGGGGGGGGGGGGGGGGGCGCCTTCGATCTAGCCCTGGCTGGCGCGCGCAAAAGAATGAACACTAGGTGGTGAACGATTGGTATTGGTACCGCTACTGTCAACTGCGACTCGCACGTACTTTCGTAGCTTGGTGTACTTCGTACTGCTAGACGCAATCTGAGAGGACGACAACTTGAATGTATTAGTAGGGAGGAACAAGGGTACGGTAGAGGGGAGGGGTGGTGTTAGCAAGGTGTGGTAGCTGGACCCCGCCACGATCAAGGATCCCCACACACTGGCAAGAGTCAGAGGCAGAAAACCAGAAGAGGAAGTGTGCAACTGCGAAGTCTCAAGTAGCGGATGTAGCGTACGAGAACTGGGCGACAACGCGATGCTAGTCCCATTGGCGGAGAACTGGTGCACCGTGCCGCTCTTTCGTTTTCTCAGCAGCCACCCTCGATCAGATGCGCCAACCTGTCCAGGGTCGGTGAGGGAGGAAGAAAATTCTCACGAGCGCAAAGAAGCACGAGAGGCTCGATGCATGAGCGTTAATTCACCTGGTTGGCACTAGCCAGCCATATCTGCTACTCATGTCCAGCGGCTACGGTATGAAGGGGAGGGCTGGCCCAAGGCATCCAAGCAAAATCTGATGCTGTTCCACCCGTCGCCAAAGGTCCCTTCCTTCGTAAATCACATCGTTTCTCGCCCTGTCGGGTAACCTCAAACGGGACCGGAGGGACTGCATGACTTCGAAAAGCAAAAGAAGAAAAGAATGGTTCTCAATGAGAACGCAAATCAGGAATGGTTAAAAATATTCTCAAGGAGAAACAAACTGCACTGCTTCGCACGTAGGAAATAATGGTAACCTTACCCCCGGTCCTTCTTCATGGACTATTGCCTACCAAAAATAGAATTTTGCTGTTTCCGATTTTAACACTCAAAAGACCATTCACATGGATGCGTGGAGTGAACCGGAGACCGAGTCTGTGAACGATTCCGCAAGGAGTTTGCTGGATGCTTGGTGCTGGTTGCTGCTCTGCATCTGGAAATGTTCGTTCTTGCGTTCTTGAACTTGGAGGACAAGACAGTACGAATAGCGTAGGAGGATACTTCATACCTCGCCGCTGTACCACTCATGTAGCAGAAGGGTGGATGGGATAGGCATGCGCGAGCAAATCCTCCAGTAAAATGGCTCGGAACAAGTACCCACTGGCCAAGAGGAAGCTCGTACCCGCCCGTCTGAAGCGGTCGCTAAGCCCGGAAACAACGCGCCCAATATTGGTGCGGCATGGCGCTTCGACATGGGTGGACGGCAGTGGGTCCATGCTCGGCAACATGGGGGGTGTACGAAATTTTGACGAGCAGGCAGCCAAAGCAAGAGGGACAGGGGTGGGCGTGTGAGGGGTGTCTATGGGCTAATATTCAGGGCTGTTTGGAAAGTATCCTCCATTGTATACAGTGCTTTAAATCTAGAAAATCACTTATGATACTGTACACTTGCCGAGGTACGAAGTAAAGTACTTCGTACAAATTAGTATGGCCCAGTGCCTTCCCCACCAAAAGCATGGGCAAGAGCATTAGTGCATTTATATGTATGTGAGCACTTTCATATGTCCGTCCAATTTGGAGAGACGGCAGGTTCGTTCTGTCAGCAGGAATGCTGAGTGTATCAGAGAAGGAGAAGAGAAGGGCCGCCTTCCTCCTTCCTTCATCCTCTACGGGTCACTGAAATTGATACGGGCCCGATCGTCGTGTCAAGTCTCCGTCGTTCTTCATTTCAGCTCAGAGGGGGCTTACGAAGTACGGAGCACGAGGTGGATTCGGTTCCTCAAAATATTTTGTACTCAGCTATGTGCTTCGTTGTATAATAGAGTCGGCTATGAACGGGGCTTCAGGTGACGGTGACTCGTGGCAGGGCGGATGACGCGCGTCTGGCGGAGGCTTATCAGGTTAGGGCCGCATTGAACATTCAGACTCGCAAAACAGTGGAAGACACATTTTCCAGTTCAAGTTTCGAAGGAAAAGAGGCCTCTTTGCCCCATCCTGCACACCGAAAAGTCCGGAGTAGTCACCTCCAATCGCTGATAGGACCACAGCGCCAAAATGTTACCCCGCCGGACAGTCAGGCAGATTTGAGAAAATCAGGTTGCGTATGTGGACTATGAAGTACGAAGTCGTATGAACGACCAGCTTCTCGGCTCAATCTTCCAATGGAAGGCGGACCGGGGGGCAACAGTATCATCTGGTCACGGGGCTGTGGATATCTCGGCGCTCGAGGCAAGAATGCAACCCGCGATGACACTCTGGACATGAAATTGCCTGAGTGGAAGACCAAGTTAACCTTCAAATATCCTCTCTGTCTCGAGTAATTTGCAGCCCAGCGCCATCCTCAGGATCCTACGCTCCAGGACGCACGAGGTAGTGGAAGGAGTCTTACTGTCCCTGCCCAAACAGCGACTGCTGAAATACGAACATGAACCAACAAAACTCGTACTACCATAAAGCGCGGATCAGAACCACGCCGAACTGATTTGGGAAGGCAATTTTAAGAGAGCCCTTCAAGACGACGCTCACGGATGATGCCCTCCCAAAGAGATGCTGGCATTCTTAAAACACCAACTAATACCACTTCGTACACTTTACGAGGTCGATCCGCCGATATTACTTTGTAA